GATATTTCAACCTTCCTTTTAAATCTTAAAAAAGAGTAGCATATGCTCTAAACTAACAAGATAAAGAAACCATTAAAAATTATGTCTTTTATTAAAAACAAACATGTCTAATGGCATGTGCCATTCCTTTGACCTTGCTTGCGCTTCCACTTTTGTTTCTCGCTTTTACGCATCCTTCAAAAATAACTTCATATCCCTGGCCTGTGTGGCTCAGTAGGTTGGAGCATTGTCCATGCACCAAAAGGTGGTGGGTTCGATTCCCAGTTGGGGCGTGTGCGGGAGGAAATCGATCAATGTTTCTGTTTATGTGACTGTATCTCAAATTAAATTACAAGTAACTTACAAGGCAAGAGCCTGTAATCTTCACTATTGTATTTCCAGAGCACAGCCCAATATTCTGCACATAGTATGAGGACAGCAAATGTTGAACTGAATTACTCAGATAAAGTAAGCGACTAAAGGGTTCAACACAAACTGTCCTGATAGAAAGTTATTATCAGGGCAAAGTCGGTCTTTACGGCCACAAAACGATTAATGATTTACCTGGTTATGCTTCCAAGAAGCCTCTTTCTGCTGTTCTCTCTCGTGGGCCGCAGCCTCGACAAATTGCACACATCGTTTGGCGTCAGCCAGCTGGCGTTCTTTCTGCCGTACGGCCCTCTGGAGCTTCTGTATTTCAAGCTGGCTGCAGAATAGAGCACTCTGCAGGTCAAACAGAGCCACTTGTTGCTGAGCTGGAGTACCCTCTGAGCTCTGAAAAGAGTAAAAATCATGATCACAAGGAGGGCAAGCACCAAGCAGCTGAGAAGACCAACAATATAGGTCAGAGAACGGCACATCCTCCATGGAGTCTGCCTATGTGACCCCCACATACATGAAGCTGTCCAAGCTGGCTTTGGTGAAGCATTTCTCGAAGCTTTGCCATTGTGTCATTTTGACCTTCGATCACCTGGTATAACTCCTCCATCTGAAAATGAGAGAGGGAGCACCATACATGTTAGTAAACGAAATGTTAATTAACTCCATTATCTCGCCTGTACAGATTTTAGTAGCAGGACTATTCCAAAATACCAACTCAGGTTAAGCTACAATTTCTCTAGGGTAAGATGTATTAATCTGACATCAAAAATATAGAATACTTGTTGACTTTAATGGGACACATCATTTCCTCACAGGTCCTTGATTGCCAAATATTTTACCTCACTTTCCCTGCTTTTCAGAGTTTCCTTGAGGCTTTGAATTGTACCATCTTGCTTCTGAGATGACTCCTGAGCAGACTTTAGTTCACAGCTCATTTCATTCAGTTTCTCTTGAAGAATCTGAATCAGAAAAGTAACAGAGTTTGTTAGGTCAATTATTTCTTTTAACCTCAAATGCATAAAATCCTCCCTCAAATGTAGGTTTAGAGGATTCCTTGGGAAATATTACCGTATTACTTTTCCCCAAATATAGTGACCATTCAAGTCCTAAGCCAATCAGCAAGAGGAAGTAGCAGGAAAGGCAAAATACTTCTTCCTGCCCTAACTGGTTTGGCTCAGTGGATAGAG